GTCTTATGGATACTGCGCAAACGATAGCAAGGCACTGCGAGTACCGGAATCACGCCCATTGACTACATAGTAGTGGGTAGCTAGGTAGATATCGCGCGGCGAAATATGAGGGCAAATATCGAAGTTTTTGTGATGCTTAATTAAAGAGAAAAGAATGAAGATCAAGAGCTTAAAACGAAATGCCACTATTTATACGACACAAGGACCGATCAACATATTACATTATCACATTAAATCAAGGTGGCAGTGAAATGTTCTCGCAGTCAGTGCGTGCAATACCAGCTCGAATCACAGCCAAATAGTAAAATAAATCCCAAACGAAGAGAAATTGGAATATCATACACTACATTCACTTGGCCCGGATTTGATAAAGGAGCTATATAATAAAATGGGGCATCAATTCCCAAAGGGAGCTGCAAAAGACTTATCCTGCGATAGCCTCAAAGTATACGTAGAATTGGCTCAATTGTTGTTGAAGTCGAAGTCAACTCCAGTGTCCCAATACCTTTTCCCCAAGCGCAAGGAATGAATGGGTATAAGTGTTATTTGAAACCCGGTTATCGAAGCTAATCTGGATGTCGTCAGGTTGAGATCCAATTGTAGGTTTGAACCGGGGTCGGTTAATGGGGTGGGACGACGGCCTGATGAACGGCTAAGGGGAAGGGAAAAAGTTGTAGGTATCCGTACAGAGTACGATAATGGAACAATTGGCAAATCTCAGCCAAAATTTAAATGGGCCACCTAAAACTTGCAGCTCGCAATTGCCCGTTATCATTGGCTGAAGCCAGGACCATCTCGTCGTAGCTAACAGCCAGACCAATAGGGTCAAGCACCTGAGGGAAGAAGATGGGATGCAAGATGGGGATCCCTGACTGGTCTTGTTGCCCCAGAAAAGCCTTGAATTGACAGCATCTCATGTGCAAGAGAACGTGGATGACGCTGGTGATGATTGAAATCATGATATTGTAATGGAGATGTGAATCTATATAGCGCTCAGCACTTCGAATTGATCAGGCTGCGCTCGTTATCTACACTGAGCCCGGTATTTATTTGTTATGCAGTATCCGTACTACCGTGGTTTTCGGATCATCAGCCAATGCATCTTGAGATGCCACCACCATCTCATTGAACTCAGCAGCAGACATGTATGTACGGAGTAAACCAAACCAGGTTAATGCTACTTTCCCCGCTCTGTTTTGTATGTTCCCTCTCAATATGGCATCCAGGGTTCCCTACCTAACTACGAGATCACCGATGCCTTCAACCTCAACAATTGAGTCAATTCTAGGCAAAAGATTCGGGTTCGGGTGTGGATCAATGCTCAGTCATTTACCTTTCCATGTAAGGAAGAATGGGCCGGCCCCATGATTAAGTTGAAGATACGGACTAGAAACAAAGCCATTTAGTTTTGCCTGCAGACCTAAGGAATAAGGACTCAGTGACGATTATGAGGCATCTCTCAGCCTCTCTCCACTGTCGCTGTTTACATCCATGTCTACCAAAATGCTTGGCTCTGTTCACAAGACGGGGGGAATCTAGGTAGGATATAAATCCTAAATAATTAAAAGTCTTAGATAACTTAGTACAAGCTTAGGATATCTTTTCCTAAATTTATTTCAACACCTTATATCAAGGTCTAGGTGGTCTTTTCTTGCTCCCCGAGAGACAAGGTGGGAGCGTAGGTCTCTGCGAATAATCCCGTCATGCTCATCCCGGGAAATTGCCGGCACCGCAGCTTTCCCCGGCGGGGCCAGAGGTAATTTCGGGCTAGCGTTCCACGTGACACTCTGCGAAAGCTCTAACCGACCAAGTCGTCCTCCCGAGCAAAACTGCTCAACTCCCGTAAAAGTTCTCCTCAGCTTCAACCAACCTCTCTCCACTCCCATCTCTGATCGCTCTTTGTCATCTGGCAAGATGTTCAAGAGGTGAGTAACGATCGCACGAACGAATGTCGAATATTTTTCGATGACGTTTCCCTCCCAATTGAAGCCCAATTGAGCTGACCCTTGTGTTTTTCCCTCGGCAGCGGCATTTCCTCCTTCGCCCGCGCGGCTCGCCCGGCCGTCGTCCCTCGACGTGCCCTCCGGCCTTCATCTCTCCGACTCCCCATCTCCAGCCGATGGGCGAGCACTGCCAGCGTCGGCACCGGCAAGATTCACCAGGTGAGAACGAGCCGCTCCTCAGTCAATTCCGGTCGCCCGGGCAATACCGACCGCACAAGAACTCCGCGCTAACCCGACTGTTCGCAGGTCATCGGTGCCGTCGTCGACGGTTAGTCAATCATCTATCATAGGCTCTCGGCGAGCCTGGTGCAAGACGACGAAAACAATACTGACATTTTTGCAGTCAAGTTCGATACTCAGAAGCTCCCCGCCATTCTCAACTCTCTTGAGACTGAGAACAATGGCCAGAAGCTCGTTCTCGAGGTTTCCGTATGTTCACGTCCAATTGCCTTGTATGACTGGTCAATTCTAACATCCTCAAGCAACATTTGGGAGAGAACGTCGTCCGTTGCATTGCTATGGACGGTACGTTATGATCGCTTCGAAATTTCTCATACTTCAGCCCCTAACACATTTTTGCAGGTACTGAGGGTCTCGTCCGAGGTGCTTCCGCCCAGGACACCGGTGCTCCCATCACCATTCCTGTCGGTCCCGCCACTCTTGGTCGTATCATGAACGTCACTGGTGACCCCATCGACGAGCGTGGTCCCATCAAGACTGACAAGCGCCTTCCTATCCACACCGAAGCCCCCGAGTTCGTCGAGCAGTCCACCTCTGCTGAGGTTCTTGTCACTGGTATCAAGGTCGTCGATCTTCTTGCTCCCTACGCCCGTGGTGGAAAGATTGGTCTGTTCGGTGGTGCTGGTGTCGGCAAGACCGTGTTCATTCAGGAGCTCATCAACAACATCGCCAAGGCCCACGGTGGTTACTCCGTCTTCACCGGTGTCGGTGAGCGAACCCGTGAGGGTAACGATTTGTACCACGAAATGCAGGAGACTTCCGTCATTCAGCTTGATGGCGAGTCCAAGGTCGCCCTGGTCTTCGGTCAGATGAACGAGCCCCCTGGAGCTCGTGCCCGTGTCGCCCTTACCGGGTAAGTTGATAGATAGTGCCTTCCCTTCCTGTCACAACGCCTCAACACCAGCCCCACCCCCCACATGCATACACATATATACATTGATACGCATCCTACACAACGATGTTTTGTTTACGACTCTTGTTGGACGCCAGCTAATGCAATATCTCGGCAGTTTAACGGTCGCTGAATATTTCCGTGACGAAGAGGGTCAGGACGTGCTGCTTTTCATTGACAACATTTTCCGATTCACTCAGGCCGGTTCCGAGGTGTCTGCCCTTCTCGGTCGTATTCCCTCTGCCGTCGGTTACCAGCCCACCCTGGCCGTCGACATGGGTGGTATGCAGGAGCGTATTACCACTACCACCAAGGGTTCCATTACCTCAGTCCAGGCTGTCTACGTCCCTGCTGACGATTTGACTGATCCTGCCCCTGCCACCACTTTCGCCCATTTGGACGCCACCACTGTCTTGTCTCGTGGTATCTCTGAGTTGGGTATCTACCCCGCTGTCGACCCTCTCGATTCTAAGTCCCGTATGTTGGATCCCCGAGTTGTTGGTCAAGAGCACTACGACGTCGCCACCCGTGTCCAGCAGATCCTCCAGGAGTACAAGTCTCTTCAGGATATCATTGCCATTCTGGGTATGGATGAGTTGTCTGAGGCCGACAAGCTTACTGTCGAGCGTGCCCGCAAGATCCAGCGTTTCCTGAGCCAGCCTTTCACTGTCGCCCAGGTTTTCACTGGTATCGAGGGTAAGCTCGTTGACCTTAAGGAGACCATCAACTCCTTCAAGGCCATCCTTAACGGTGAAGGTGACAACCTTCCTGAGGGTGCCTTCTATATGGTTGGTGACTTCGCCTCCGCCAAGGCCAAGGGTGAGAAGATTCTTGCTGAGCTTGAGGGTCAGTAAGGGGTTTAAGTATTGACGTTAATGCCGCGGGAGACGGGAGGAGAGAAATAAAGGACCTGTGTATAGAGAAGAGGAACAAAGGTCCCGGGAGGTTTCTCATAAGCTCCGCCAAGTCTCTTTTGTGAGCTGTGTACTAAGAAATCAACAAAATTCCTCTTGTAGCCATATCAAGCTTTCTTTTTTACCAAATGTGAACCATTCTGACTTGCCCGTGATGTGATGAATGCCCTCAGGGTGTGAGAAAATATCAGAGCTTCTATTAGGTATCAAACTAAACTTATGTAAAGATATCCTAAGCTTACATAAAGTTACCTAAGTTTTTTCATCATTTAGGATCAAGGTCCAAAGTTTCCATTCTTCCCGCAGACCTCATGCCTACCTGACTACCTATACTTAATATCCACCAATCTCCAGTCGATGTCACAGTTGGCCTATTTGGTTTTGTTTACTCAACATCCGTCGAAGGAATTCTCTATTCCATGACCTTGAGTGATGACTCACAGTATGATATCTTGGTACCTCATGATGAGTTAATAGCAGAAATGGAAGATTCATAGTTATACATAAATTTGACTCTATTTTTGCTAAAAGGGAGACCTTCAAGTCTCACGGGTATCCAATGAACCGTTCCCAAACATTCTTTCGTTTCCTGACTCCCAGCGTCATAAATTCTATCAAATTGTCCACCATTGAACAAGTTCGGTCATGGGTCGAATGTAAAGGTAGAGTTCATGTCAGTCCTCCATTTCTCAATAGCCTCCCCCTTGGTTATAACTTGGCCTCTTGAATCCATAAGCACGAGCTTCTTCTCAGCAGGTATCCACTCAACACGTCGTCCTTTCTCATCAACAAGGGTGACAGATGCCGTTGGGTCTAATCGTAGGCTGTTGGGCTTTTGCGGTGACCAATTTGGATCTTCGAACAAGACTCTTCCAAGCTCGAGCTCGCCTTCAACGAGGCGTGCCATGTGCGGGACGAGAAGGTATTGTTGCCACTCTGGACCGATGTGCTCGCAAAGATCTCGCAGTGAACGATTTCCGACGTTCTTTATCCACCAGACATCAGAGGGGAACTTAAGAAAAGCTGCATAGTACGCGAGAATGACAAGAGCCCGAGGGCGCAATTCGCGTGCGAGCTGAACGAAATTCCGGGGCACAAAGGTGAACCAGGTGATGATCCGCAGCATCATGATTGGCCCGAAACCGTCGTGTAAGTTCTGATATAAAGAGCCGAGGAATTGAAGTGTCTCGTAGTAGGTTTCCACGTTGAGAAAGTCTGGATCGGTGGGCTCGATGGAGTTGAGCATGGAGACGAGGCAAGCAGGAATGTGGTTTGTGGCTTGCTCAACGTCGACAGAAGGTCTGTTAAACAAACAGTAGAGGCCTGAGTCAATGAGTTTCTCAACACCCATGAGGTCAATGACGAGGCCGATTCCCCTCCAGACAATCATCCAATCGATCAAGTAAAGCTTTTTACCATCCTCATCGCGGAAGTTTTGGGATGATAGAGCAGTGAGCAATAGAGAATTGGCCAATAACGCCGGGAACGTCTCCGGCTGTGCTTTTTCCACAGCCAAGCGATATCCTTCAAAGGAACGGGCGCGATAGGTGAGAGCACGTGCAGGGTCATGGCTCAACTCAAGACTCTGCATGTGAAGACTTGCGAGACCAAATAACGAATCCATGAGAAACGGGTTATCAAATGCAACCTGAACCATTCTGTTTCTTAGGACCTCGTTGATAGGGTTAGCGGGTCCCTGGTCCACAGAGAAAGAGGTACACGTTGAACTGGTGTAGAACCAAAGGAGCTTCATATCTGTCACGTCCATTTGACCGTGGCGGAACACGGGTGAGACGGTCAACGGCCCGACCTCTTCCATAGGCTCATCGCCAGAAGAGATAGAGACGACGTCTGGCGAAGGAGCATTCTGAGGAGCGGATAGAGGTTCTGGTGGTCGTGGAGGAGAATTGGTGATGCTGCTATATGAAGAGGCAGCAGTTGAGGCTGCGGGAGTAGGATACACGCAATCAGCCTTGCGCAATCTGCATGATCGGCAGACAGGGCGAGCCTCGTCGCATTTCACCTTGCGAGCTTTACAATTGCGACATCCAGTTCGCGACTTCTTGTGAGGTCGTTTGGAATGGTAGGGCTTATTGTTATCGTAATTAGGCGGCGATCCTTCTGGACTTTCCGACTGGGGATGCTCTGATGAGGTCTGAGAAGTGTCCATGGCTGTTTGAGACTATAACATGGCTATCACGGACGGAACGAAATAGAACGGATTTATGTATGAGATGACAAGAGTGAGTTGAGTTAAGTTTTATGCTAACGTTGGGTTGAATGAGATGAGTTGCCCACCAACAGACAGTGGAAACCCCGCGTACGTGCGTCTCAGGTCTCAGAACCAAACAAGGCTTAGCAGCACTCCAAGTTAGTTCCATTGCAGTTGTGACTGGATGACGACTCTAGTCTATGATGACGATAAGATTTGTACAGTAGGATTCGGGTAGACGGGCTAGAATACCAATTAGTAACCTAGTGAAGACAGGCCCTGTAATCCAGTGTCGTCCAAGGTGTCCTAAGGCTGTTGAGTCTTCCTTGTAAGTGGGTTTATGATCTACAGTCAACATGTTGCTTGACTCGAATAAGCCCAACATCAAGTTTACACACTTAGATGGCATTCAAAAATGCATCAGGCAATATCCCCTCCCATATTGCGTAGTTCGACACGAGGCACAATCTTTGAAAACGAAGAGGACGCCCACTACCAGAGTCGGCAATCTGCAGAGCCCGTCTTACTCCTCATCAGCCAGCAGCCTAGACATCAGTCCATAGGAAGAGAGAGCATACTGTGGTAATGGGTATCCTGGCTTTGCGTAGTTTGACTCTTCTCCAAGTGGAATTGCTGTATCATTATGTTATATTGTATTATCGCCATTCCCAGATAGAGTTGATTTCTTATATCGTGTCTTGCAGAGTCTCGAGTCATCGACCAAGCAAAGCCTCAATAATCTCCCTGAAATCGTGTACTTGATCAGTCTCAGGATAGTGAATTGTATACACACGTATCTGTTGAGCCTTTGACTGTGTTAGATACCCTACGTCAACAGGAAATCCTCCAAGTCTTTTTCTTCAACAGACTTCCAAGACCTTATACAGAGAAACGAAAGTGACAGGGGTGTTTTCTATGCAACCTAGGTCATAGAACTTGTTATTTTGTCTATTCTTATATTGTAGAAGTCAACAGTTGTCAATTGATTAATAAACCAGACCCGAAATTCGATCGGGATTCGGCCGACTCAAAAAATCCGGCCCCGGTTTTGACGAAACTTTTGGGGAAATTGTTAAGCAAGACATGACAGGGCTCATGGCTCATAGTCATAACTAAGTTAGCTCATAGCTCAGACACAGCCTTGCGACCTGAGCTTCAAAGGCTTCGCCATAGTCTCCGAATCTCTCTCCTCTCGGTCCCGGCCGACGAGAAAGTCGCCCGGATGCAATCGACAGGGCTCCGTGCCCTGCTCAATCCTGCTATTGTCGCCGCAAGATCACAAGCCCGATCTCGAATACGCTATCGATCCTTTCAGACATCGTCAACCTGGAGAGATACAGGCGCAAGCGCAGGCGCAGGCGCAAACAATGGTGACAAACCACCAGGGCAGCCGGCAGCTGTAGAGGAGGAAGATGTGCAGCCTCAGAACGGAACCGAGACCGCACCAGGTCGTTCACGAGTTCGAACTTCGACCTCTGTGAAAAACAGAATAGCTCGCAAACATGCCGCCCCTGCGCTACCCCCCGTCAAACTACCACAAACGTTCCTTGACAACAACGTCACTCTTCATCATGCCTGGAGAAGACCACGTCTCCCAATCGCCCTCGCCGAAGATGCCAAACAACCAAAGACGTCCTCTATCTTTGTCGATCCTCAGGTCGCTGATAACAAGACTCGAATAATGGAATCCAACAGAGCCCTGGAGGATTACTTCGATGCGACATTCTCTGCCATGTCCGAGAAAGTTGCTGATCGTGTCAAAGCTGTTGCTGCTCTTGATGCCAATTGCCACCCAGAGGAGCTCGTACATAAGTTGACGAGCCTGACACGCGCCCACGACATGCTCCTCGATTCAGCATGGCATCTGGCTGATTCGCTATATCCTGCCCGACACGCGGAATATATATACACCTCAAAGCCATTCTGGTGGTGGCACTACTATAAGGATTTTGACCGACATGCCCAAGAGTTTCGCGACCAGTTTCTTTCAGTTCAGACAGGCCTCGACAGCATTCTCGACTATGACTGGAGACTTGACCACTCCCTAGCCCAAGCCATCGCCGACCTACCCATTCTCACATTCTCCTCTATTCGATCTGCTCTGCGCCGAGAATTAACGACACCACCCCCTCCTGACTCTGAGTCCAAAAACCTCAAGCGTCAGATTACCTTATTGTCCATGTCCGGCTATAGTGGACAAGCCATATCAGAGGCTGTCGCAGAACATATCGCCTACTTCAACGATGCCGATCTGGTTAAATTGAACGCCCAAGATTTATCCGTTATAGTAGGAGACTATCTAGACCAGGACTGGGCTTATTCGCGAGGCTCACTCTCCAACATGGGATTCCGTGCCGCAGAGATGAATGGAAAGCTCTACAAGGATCCCGATATGGTGACACGGCACGAGGAAGAGGACAACGACCCCGACACGGGCGTGATTAACATTCGCGCAGCCTCGGGCTCGCTTGAAGACGAACTTTCCAAAATCAAGCAGGGTGGCTATGACCCTTTTGGCAAATGGGAGAACCTCAAGATCGATAAGGTCCTGGATCAAATTATACAGGCTGCCGAGATCAAGCAGGGCTCCCCACGTGAGAAGCCTCTCATCATCCATATCCACGACTTCATTGAACTCAGTATGACGCTTGAGGGTTCAATGCTCATCACGAGATTAAGAAATATTGTGGATTCAGCCTGGCAACAAGGTTCCAAGGTTGCGATTCTG